TGCCATTCTGCCCCCCAAAAGCTCTACAAAGGTTTCAGCTTGCATGTGATCAGGGCCGGATTTCCCACAAGGCCAACCAAGGCCATGCCTTGGGGCAGCAGGGAGTAGAGGGGCAGCAGGGATTTGGAATTCCTATCTACTGATGCCTGTTCCGGGCGCCGGGCGGGTAGTGGGGGGGCTCATTGAGGAACCTGGCCTCGGGGCAGCAGAGGGAGTAAATCTGGCCCTGCATGTGATCACCATGTCATAGCTCACATACTGTTGGTAGCCACTCTGGTTGGTATCCTGACCGTTAAAGGGAGCCAGAGCTGTCACCGGCGGCTGGCTTCGACAACCAGAAGCTACGAAAAGTGTCAGCTGGTAGCATCGCAGGACCCTGATGGCCCCACGAATGAATCTCAGGGGGTGTCATGTTTGTGGCCATCAAAGTCTTGCAGTGGTTCATGGAATTGGTAGTTTCACCACAGCTGGGGTGCCGAGGTTGCCTACCACTGCTATAGGCTATTTAGCATGGAGGCTGCTTCACAAAGGAGGCCCAGGAGAGGGGCTATCAAATCAGGAATGTTGGGCTTTTCCCTTAAAGGTTATCAGCCCAGTACCCCAAACTGATCTTCTTTTGCTGGAGGATGCTGGGCATGCACAGTTCCTGCCATCCTGCTACAAGCTTTATAGGTCAGGGGTAGGCAACCTCGGCACTCCAGCTGTGGTGAAGCTACAAATCCTATAAAGCATTGCAAGACTATGATGGCCACAGACATGACTCTCAGAAGGAGTCAAATCAGGAATGTTGGGCTTCTCCCTTAAAGGCTCCAAGCCCAGTACCCCAAGCTGATCTTCTTTTGCTGGAGGATGCTGGGCATGCACAGTTCCTGCCATCATGCTACAAGGTTTTTACGCCAGGGATAGGCAACCTTGGCATTACAGCTGTGGTGAAACTACAAATCACATGAGGCATTGCAAGACTATGATGGCCAGACTCTCAGAGGTAGTCATGTTTGTGGCCTTCAGAGTCTTGCAGAGCTTCATGGATTTGTAGTTTCACCACAGTTGGAATTCCAAAGTTGCCTACCACTGCTATAGGCTATTGAACATGGTGGTTGCATCAAAAAGGAGGAACAGTAAAGGGGCCATCAAATCAGGAATGTTGGGCTTCTCTCTCTTAAAAGGCTATAAGTCAAGTACCCAAGCTGATTTTCTTTTGCTGGACGATGCTAAGCATGCTCAGTTCCTGCCATCCTACTACAAGCTTTATATGCCAGAAGTAGGTATCCTCGGCACTCCAGCTGTGGCGAAACTACAACTCCAATGAAGCAACGCAGGACTTTGATGGCCAGACTCTCAGAGGAAGTCATATTTGAGGCCATTAGAGTCTTGCAGTGATTCATGGAATTGGAAATTTCACCTCAGCTGGAATTCCGTGGTTGCCTACCACTGCTATAGGCTATTAAAGGAGAACTATGAGGTGAGTGCTTTTCACTCACCTCATAGTTCTAGCCGACCTGTGACAATGAGACTGTCACAGGTCAGCTCAGTAGATCGGGAGGTGAGCGAACATATACCGGCGTTCGCTCACCTCTCGATCCTGTCACGGCTCTCTGCCGTGACAGAGGAGGGGCTGGATTCCCCCCTCCCCGCTCCGATCTGCCAGCACTGACTGGCGGATTGGAATGGGGCGGGTACAGCTGGCTCTGCCTCTAGATAGGCAGAGCCAGCTGTCACTCACGCAGCTGGGCGGATCTCGACATCGATGTCGGGATCCGCTGCGGCGTCTCAGTATACCGTGAGCTGTAGCTCGCGGTATACTGAGCTTAGGGTGACGGGAGGACGCTAGTTTGTGTCCTCCCGTTACCCTAAGGAGAACTACGGGGAAAAGCCCTGACCCCATAATTCTCCTTTAAGCCTGGAGGTTGCTTCAAAAGGGATGCCCAAGAGAGGGACCATCAAATCAGAAACGTTGGGCTTCTACCTTAAAGGTTATCAGCCAGGTACCTCAAGCTGGTCTTCTTTTGCTGGAGGATGCTGAACATGCTCAGTTCCTGCCATCATGCTACAAGCTTATACGCCAGGGATAGGCAACCTCCGCACTCCAGCTGTGGTGAAAATACAAATCCCATGAAGCATTGCAAGACTATGATGACCACAATAATTACTCTTAGAGGGAGTCATGTTTGTGGCCATCAGAGTCTTGCAGTGCTTCATGGAATCTTTAGTTATACAACAGCTGTAATGCCGAGGTTGCCTACCACTGCTATAGGCTATTTAGCATGGAGGCTGCTTCACAAAGGAAGGAAAATAATGTCACCAGCACACCATTCTTTGAAAATCAATGATCCATTTTAATGGCATATTGCCATCCAAAACAAGCGCTTTCGGGGCCGCACAGGGTCCCCTTCATCAGGCTCAGAATGACACATAGATAACAGGAAACATCAACCTTATATATACATCACACAGTGAAAATACGAATAAGCCACTCCCATACGAAAAATGACATCACCGAATCCATTCCCGCCATAACCAGTTCAAATCTAGATTCACCTTGCCTGTTCAAGGTGCACCGAGGCAAAAGAAGAAAACGGGCCGTTAAACGGCCGGCGTAGGTGGTTGCCAAGGTGATAGGACGCTATCTCAGCCACGAGCGCCGCCCATCTCTGGTGCGCATGTCAACTGCAGAGGGCGCAGAGTGGATTCCGGCTTGCGTTCCATCGTCGCTGCGCAACGGCCTGCTCATGCGCGTCACGTGTCTCAACAGAGAAGAGGAGGGCAAGGCTGTAAACTGGCACTGTCACTTCGGTAGAATGTGGAACGCACAATGCTAGTTGCTTGCGCTTCAGCAACGGGAGTGCAGCAAGATATTCTGTTTATAGAAGTTGCTTCACAAAGGAGGCCCAGAAGAGGGACCATCAGATCAGAAATGATGTGCAGATATCAGCTAGCCGTCTGCTCTGACTCACATCTCAGTCCAGGTCCACCAACCTGCCAATCTCCAGTTTTCAGTGATGATCAGGGCCAGCTTGCTCATGTGTTCACCATATGGAGAAGGTAACCATGGATGGAGCTCACTGACACTTTAACATCTGTTTCATGTACGAAAAAAAATACGGAAAACATCAGAAAAATGTAGAAACTTTGTAGCAATAAAATCGCAGAACATTTGTCACGCCGGCTATTCGCTCTCCTTGACAGCACCTTCAGGCAACCGAGGCAGAGTGTAAAATTTTAACTGTCGTGTATTTGCGTACTCCGCTTTTTCGGATGTACTTCGAACCAAATTGTAAAGGAAAACAGCATGGAAGTCAAGACATTTACGGGATTAATGTCAAGCCCAAGCAGGCTCGTTAAATCTATTTAAAGTCCAGCTGAAGTCATAGAAATAAATATGCAGTTTGGGGTACATTGTGCTAACAACCTCCTATCACGTACCTGACTGGAGACCCAGCTGAGAAGGGGGCTGCCAGTGCACCTCTCGCCCCACACCTCTGGAAGTGATGACAGGGATGCCGATACTGGTGGCTGGCCGGTTCTTGAGGAGACGCTTGAGTGTGTTGGACCAGCTGGTGAATCGGCAGGACCGGGATGAAACCAGAGCAGGCAACGGGTGTGAGGCCAACGGAGCACTGGCTGGATGTAGCTGCTCAGGTTACCGATGGAGTGATCCACCAAGTGGCAGACCAGGAGGGAAGTCAGGTTGAAGCAGAGGTCGTAGGTCAGGAGCAGAGTCAGGAAATGTAAGCTAGGGTCATACAGAGGAGATCAGAGAGCAGAGGTAGCGAATCAGAAGGAGGAAGCGGAGCCAATTGGTCACATGCCGAGGTCATACACAGGGAGCTGGATCTTGAGGTGCCGAATCACAGGTCCGGAGCAGGGTCAGGAGACGTAAGCCAGGGTCATACACAGGAGATCAGAGAGCAGAGGTAACGAATCAGAAGAAGTATGCGGAGCCAATTGGTCACATGCCGAGGTCATGCATAGGAAGCTGGATCTTGAGGTGCCGAATCACAGATCAGGAGCAGGGTCGGGAAATGTAAGCCCGGATCATACACAGGGAGCCGAATCTTGAGGTGCCGAATCACAGGTCCGGAGCAGGGTCAGGAGACGTAAGCCAGGGTCATACACAGGAAGCCGGATCACAGATCAGGAGCAGGGTCAGGAGACGTAAGCCAGGGTCATACACAGGAGATCAGAGAGCAGAGGTAGCGAATCAGTAGGAGGAAGTGGCGCCAATTGGTCATAAGCCGGGTTCATATACAGGGAGCTGAATCTTGAGGGGCTGGGATTTAATGTTTGGATAGATTTTGGTGTCACCTTGTGTGGTTACATTGTATATTTTTGAACTCTTCTTTTTATTTGAAAGGCTTGATGATGATTTACAGTCCTCAAGCCTATAATAATATATTGTGGGTGGTTAAGTAAATGCCTCTCAAATATCTCATTATATTGAGGGAATGTTTTTGCTGTTCCCATTTCCTCGACCCACGTGCAAAAAATAGTAGAAAGGTTTAGATTGTATTTTATGATTTAAAAAAAAAATTAAATCTGTATCCTAGTTAGGGAGTTTCTCATTGGAAGATAGGTGCCATAGATAGCATGAGGATGGATATATACTCAGATGAGATTCATATTTGGCACAAAAGGATTTGTATTTTCTGGCCACCCATTCCTTATCTGTAAAAAAAATCATGGCGACTGCTGTATTTTTCTTGAAGACATTTCGCTGGTCATCCGACTAGCTTTTCTCAATTCTGAATAGAGAAAGCTAGTCGGATGACCAGCAAAACGTCTTCAAGAAAAATACAGTGAGTCCAGTTGCCTTAAATTATTTTTTTACAGATATACCACGACGATGCAATGCCACCTGGGCCCCTCCCCAGCCTTTGATTGGGCAGCGAAAGAGCAGCAGAAGACTGATGAGCTCAGCATGCTGCTCTCTTTCCCTATCAGAATGTTGCTTGTTAATTGCATGACCTGGATGAATGAGAGCCTTCACAGACACCCATTCCTTAGCTTTATAAAGCCCAGAAAACACAGCCAGCCTGGTGACTTGACTTTTCTCTTCCGCAGTTATGCAATGCAGCCGGGGCCACTACCCAGCCTGTGATTGGGCAGCGAAAAAGCAGCAGAAGACTGATGAGCTCAGCATGCTGCTCTCTTTCCCTATCAGAATGTTGCTTGTTAGTTGCATGCAATGCACCTGGTTTGTTCCTAGTGCTGACCCTCCATCTCCTAGTACAGGGGATTACAAAAGCCCCAAATCACTCATAATTGAAGTATTTATACTGACTGCATTTGAAACGTTTGGTAATTTTAGGTTAATGCATAAATAAATTCATTGTTGTATTTGAATACATGCCCACAGTTCAATAATGCTCGCAAGAAAAGGCTTTTCCCGTGATCATGATCCAAAATGGCTCCATACTTTGGTCACTCTGGATATTTGGTGAATTGTAAGATGTCTGACTGTCACTTGTCATTTCTTATTGTTTTTTTAGGTGTTTTTAAGAAGAATTGATGGTTCTGAAGATTTTTACAGGAACTGGAGGGCATATGCTAGTGGATTCGGAGATCCTTCAAAGGAGTTCTTCATGGGTGAGACTTGTTCTCTATGATACGTATGAAGTTTCAGGTTTTCCACCTCTCAGTGTGAGGGCTGCGCGTGTCTATTCATGGGTTTCAGATCTAAAGGGAACGAGAATTCTCTTTCTTATGGAACTTGTGTCAGATCGCAGGAGGAACTGGTTGGCGGGAACCTGTACCCAGACTGTAGACATCAAAGTCTTTATATATTCTTACCAGGGGGCGTCCATAGACGTATCGCCGCCTGAGGCGTTTGGGGTCTCATGATGCACATTCCAGGGGGGCTTTTAATTGCTTTGGCTCTTTGTGCACATTCCAGTGTTGACGGCTCATGGTGGACGTTCTGGGGTTGGTGGGGCGCAGTGATTGGCATCCCCAACCAGTTCACTAACGTCACTGGTTGCCGGGAGCTGGGTGGGATGCCACCCAGAGCATCCCGCTAATCTGGCAACCAGTGATGTAAGTGAGCTGGGCAACACGAGCCAGCCCCCACTCCCCACCACCAGAACATCCGCCATGAGCCATCAACACCCAACCACTCTGGAACGGGCCAGAGAGCAATTAATGCCCCCATGGAATGTTCATCATGAGCACCCCAACCGCCCCCCGCCTCAAGCTGCTAACAGCTGTTAGCAACCTTGGACGCTGTGGCCAGAAAGGGGGTGACAGGCTCACCTACCGCACCTCCCCACATGACCCAATGAGATACCACTTCAGGCGTCCTTATTATAGGAATGACCCTGATTCTAACCATGTGGTAAATTAACTTTAAAGAGACCCTGTTGTCAAGCCATTCATTTAAACAATCTTCCCCAGATTATAGGTGCATGTAATGTGTCTGAGAGATGTTATTTACCTGCAAAAGCCTCCCTTGTGTAGACATCTAAAAGGCCAGAGACTGCTGCCGGGTGCTGCCATCTTGGATGTGATGTCAGCAGCCCCAGCATACTCAGAGCTGTCACTCTCATGGTACTCTATAGGGGCTCCTTCCCTGGCAGCCTCAAAGGTTACGTTGGGTGGAGGAGCTTGGCCAGCACAGAAACTATTTGGACATGCCGATTCATATAGTATTTCCAATCTGCTGCCAAGAAAAAAAAAAAGTGACATTGACAGATCTGGTTTTTGCATTGCCTTCGCCTTAAAGTGATTTCCGCTGGAGTCTGCCTGTGGAAAATTGAATTGCCACCTCCCATTATTATCTCCCGAGGACAGAATTCGGGAGTGTAACTCTTTTTGTTTCTTTTTTTTTGTGACGAGCGTCGTTATTTTTCTTCTGATTTTCAGGTTTGGAAAACTTGCACAAAATCACCTCGCAAGGACAGTACGAGCTCCGCGTGGACCTTAGAGACAACGACGAAACTGCTTATGCTGTTTATGACAAGTTCAGCGTTGGGGACTCCAGGAAGCGGTACAGGCTTTCGGTCAGCGGCTACACCGGCACGGCAGGTGGGTAGTCCTCGTATGACATGAAACTTGCTTTGATCACGAACAGAAATGTAACAATGTATACCAAGATATACGGTAAGTATAATGTGACCACTTGAGGATTCTTAAACATAGGAGGTTCGTCCTAAACAAAAATCATCTTGGATGTATCTCCTATGTGCTGCTCCTTCCCCCCATGTGCTGCTCCTTCCCCCCCTGCCGCCTCTCCCACTGCCGCCATTACCAACAATTACCGGCAGTCAAAATGACAACCGGGAGTTGCTATGTATCAAAACTGCTGTCAAAATGCAACCACTCCTGTATAAAGCTCCGTTCACATATCTGCATTGCACGAGCACGTACAGTATTGTCCAGGCATTTTCCAAATGTACCCACAAAATATCCCTTCCCCCCAGATCATTATCCTCCCCCCCCAGATCATTATCCTCCCC